GCCTCCTTTCTGAAACACAGACCAGTATTTGAATTTCAGATTTTTTTTTATATTTATATCACAAAAACAAAATCCTCGATTTTATTGGTACTATTTTTATGTACCTAATTAAAATAGGCTTGATTATTCCAGTGGCGTTCCGAACCCGAAGTAAATGTCCACACCACTAAAAAATTTAAATTTTTTCCAGAATCTTGGGTATTATGGGTAATATCACATTTTTATACATTTTAGTTGAGGAACCAAAATGCATTTTTTGCATTTTCTTGACCTCAGAGACGATATTAACGAGACGAGACAAAGAAGAGCTCTCTCGTATTGTATTGAGGGTCTCTTGTAGAGACGACAGATTCTTCTCACGAACTTTCGAGACAAGGCAAGAGAGCAGAGCTGTCAAAGATACTTTTAAAAAGTATCTAGTTACAAGATAAGTTACTTTTGGAAAAAGTATCTGAAGTTACTTTGGGTATTTAGTTACTCATTAAAAAAAGGATCTTCAATACGTATTTTAAGTTACTTTTTAAGATACTTAATAAGATACTTATTAAGATACTTTATTATTACTTCCAAATAGCAAGCGAAAAAACCGATAAAGCTTTTGCAGTTTAGTTTATTTGGTCCACAGGTTTCAGATTCAATTTTAAAAACAAGAATTTTCATAGTTTAAAAATTCGAGAATAAGGTTCAAAATCGCAGGACATAGAAAGTTATCACAGTTTAGTTACAATCACAAATCATAGTTAAATTTTTATAGAATATAATGGATAAATCGCGACGTGAACTTTTGAAGTATAAACTCGTTAATCAACTCTTTTGTTAAATGAATGTACACTAACTTCACAGAGCGGCTGGGTGAGTACAACTGAATAATACATAAAACGTAAGCTTGATGCTTTTTGAAGTTTGAACCAGTTTTATGTTTTTGGGTCGGATTTGGGTAAACGTCTCAAGAAACTTTTCTCACGGTAACTAATACTTTTCGATAACTTAGATTAAACTTTTCAGTATCTAAGGTACCTACTTCTAAGTATCTGAGATACTTTTTAGTATCTAAGATACTTTCCGGTATCTAGGATACTTTTCTAAGATACAAGTTACAGATCCTTTTGAGGAGTGACTAAGATACTAGATACTTTTGCCAAAAAATAAAAAGTATTTAAGATACAGTTCTCAGATACTATAAAGTAACTAAGATACTCTAAAGTAACTAAGATATTTTTTTCTGACAGTTCTGCAAGAGAGAGCGTATTCTCGTCTCGTCTCGCGGCATCACTAGTTTTAACTGAATTTTCAGAAATTGAATGTCGCAAATGTGAAATTTTGCATGCCAGAGTGTTTGGCAAATAATTGGCGCTCCGATGACAAGGCTACATACAAGCTTGATTGCTATATTGATGTAGGGATCAACACTGAAGGCAGCTTTGCAGCTCATAACCAAAACCATCAAGAAACAACGACGTTCTAGCCCTAGAAATCGAAGAGGCCAATGAGATACCCAGACCAAAAATCAGGGGTGTGTCAATACAAAACGAAAAAGAACCAAAAGGATAAATTATTAAGCTTCAAACAGGCGCCCTACAGATTCCTACGATGAGAAATACTAAGCGACAGTCAACAAGGAACAAGTGGCCATTATGGTCTACTTCCCGTGATGTCAGTCCATGGGAAGAAGAGCTCTGCAGGCGTGTGGGTAGACTTGGATAAACAGAAACGCATTCTATTGATAGGCATAGAGATATGTTAAGCATGTTAGGATGATGTTGGAATAACGATTTCGGGTATGACAAAGAACATAGATATAGAAGACATTGTTCCCAGAACATGGTTCTAGGCAGGCATACCTAATACTGCTGGGAGGTATAGAGGGAGAAGAGAAGGAGTAGGCCTTGACAGGGTAAAAACTTATCACGAGATAATGATCGATGTGAATTGAGAGGAAGGCAGAGGTACGAAATTACATTGTTGCGGAGAAGCCAGAAGCCGACGCCGCTGTTGACGACCGGAACACGTATGTTTAGAAATCCAACTGTGTGATTTAAATAAACAAGCATTCAGGTGATTCTAGAGATCTCTCGAATAAAATGATTTTGTACTTGGAGCGCGAAGTTTGTCTGTTAGTTTAAATAAAAGAACTTTTGTATAAAAAAAGTGATAAGTGAATTTTGTTGTTCTTATTGTTCTTAATGAAGAGAGATCTAGTGGACTACCCTTTTTTTTATGAATCACCTTTTTTTAGAACAGATTCATTGTAGAGTTATAATTGGGTCACGCGCTTTGTGGACCTTCGCAAATAATCTCGTATAGAGGGCGTCATTTAAGAACTTTTATGGGAAAATTTGGATGTACCTACCTACGAGCTCTTCTCCACTAATTTTTACCCTAATTTTTCATTAGAAAGGTCAAGTTCATTGCACCCTGTTTCAGACTTAATTTGTTTGCTTTTCAAAAATGGTTGGTTTTGGTTTCGTTTTGTCGTAAATGATAATATATTGAGAAGCCTAAAGGTTTTCAGCACGTCGGGCATTGGGTTAATTTGAGATTTTCAAAAAAACTTTGTCGTCAAAGACTTTGAAAATCGTAGGCTACCGAATTTGTTCTTATGTGCTTTTTGTTTATAGATTGTCTATTAAATCTAATATATAAAATTCTCATGTCACAGTTTTAGTGACCTTCGTTCTCCGAAACGGCTTCACCGATTTTTATGAAATTTTATATGTATATTCGGTAGGTCTGAGAATAGGTTTTAAGCTATTTTTTATACCCCTAAGTGATAAGCCCTAAAAAAAATTATTTTTTTTTTGCTTCTCACCACTACATAACCCAACTTATTTTTATTTGCGCATTCAATGCCATTCAACCTACGTAACAGTATTATCTTATAGCATTTTCGGCTTTACTGCTCTCAGAGCGCTCTCTATTTGGGCGGTGACGTGACAGATTTCTGCGGAAGTGCTCCGAGAGCGATTATGATCCAAGCGAGGGCACCCTATTTGAAATCAATAGCTGAACCTACTTTAATTGTTTTGTTTTGATAAATCATTGATCTATCGAATTTGACGGAGCAAGTAATAGCGCTTCGTGCGATATTTGAGAGCGTTTATTGCTCAAGTTGAACACGTGAATCCGTTTCGGATCGCTTTTTGATCAATCGGGAGCAGTTTTGAGACAAAAGTCGTAAGCGCTATTATCAGATAAATATATATATCTTCTATCGCCAGATTGCGTGGTCCTTTTCTTTCATTACATACCATTCACAGTGGCGACAATAGGGTACTTGCATGGAAAATTAAATTGATTATTGTTTATTGCAAACTGTAGGAAATCGAAAAAAAATCGATGCATGTTTTTTTATTTTGTCCAAATATGATTATTTCGAAAGTTACACAAATATTGAGTTTTATATATATATATATATATATATATATATATATATATATATATATATATATATATATATGTAGATATACTGAGCACGTGCGACGTCACCACGTATTATAAGTTATGACGTCAGGACATTTCAAAGCGTTGTATCTCCGTCAATTTTTGACTAACAAGAAAAAGAAAAAACACGTGTTGACTTATTTTTCATGGACTATCGAAAACAGCAATAAAAAAATTTGATGCAAGGGGCCTTATACCTTAATTTAGTTTTCGATCCCGAAAAGGGTGAGTACAAATTTGTGAATATTGTGATAGGTTATGTTTATGTTATTTTATATGGCAATCCAAATCACTTGATTCAATATGGCAGAGCAGGCCGACATTATTTTGTTTACATTTGATCCTGTGTTAATTGTGTGAATTAATATGAATTTTTAAATCAGTGGTTATTGACCATTCAGATGATTTTTTTTATTCTCTTTACATTCTTTGAACATTCCTGTGCCTGAGTTTATTTATTTGGTGGTACAGGGTGATTTGTTATAAATGTCACCCCCTTCTAACTTTTTCATTTGACATTTTTGACAAAAGTGTCAAATACAAAAGTTTCAATAATTTGTCGAAAGTTTTTAACTAAGTTGATTTTAGGCATACAGGGTACGTCAAAAAAGTGCAGCGGTGTGAAGTTATATTTTTTTAAATGGAACACCCTGTATATTGTACGCTTATTTGTTAGTCCCTTTTAACCTGATTTCAACGATATATGATTTGATATGTCCATCTTCAATAGCTATAGGGAAAAACATGAAAACCCGTTTCACATTGAAAAAAGAAAAATTATACCATTCAGGCTTTAGAGAATTTTTTTCATAAACAGTTTATTGTTCAAATTTTATTAATTAATATACAAGGTGAAATATTATAATAAATCCAGATGTCTAAGTTATTATTAGTATTTAAAAAAAAATAACATGAGAGACCTAGGAAGGGATTTTCGCGTTTTTCCCTATTACTATTGGAGATAAACCGAGAGATAAACATATCAAACCGTATATCGTTGAAATCAGGTTAAACGGGACTAACAAATAAGTGCACAATATACAGGGTGTTCCATTTAAAAAAATATAACTTCACACTGCTGTACCTTTTTGACGCACCCTGTATGCCTAAAACTGACTTGGTTAAAAACTTTTGACAATTTCTTATAACTTTTGTATTTGACACTTCTGTCAAAAACTTCAAATGAATAAGTTAGCAGGGGGGGGGGGACACTTATAATAGATCACCCTGTACACTTTACAAGAATAATGCCCACAAGGTGCCTAAAAAGGGATGATGTAAAATTTAAATTTTAGGTGATTTCTAGATCAGCTAGTATAGTATAACTCAATAAAATCGTCACCGCAAGCCGCAAGCTATGGCCGATTTAATGAAGTCACCTATTGGAAAGCTGAAAATTAAAGCTAGGTATGTAGATAAGTATTTGGTTTCTATAATTTTATTGCTTTAGCATCTCTCCCTACAAATATTTTTCGCGTTTTTCCTAACCTACAATATAATTTTTCAATCGGCAATTAGCAAAGATTTTAAACGGTAGGTAATGAAAAAATCAAACTTACCTTTTTAAGTAACAGAAGCGCATACATAAAAATGACTTTAATCCAATACACACCACTACGATTTTGATATGCCCCAAATAATGGAGCAGGATTTTTATCAAACATTTTACCCACTATTATTACCAAAGTCGATCCTAGTAATGAGAAAACTATTAAAACTAAATAATTTATCATTTTTTTTGTTGTTCAAAACCAAGCCGTTAAAACAAAACCCGGCTTTATTTGTTTAATTTTGTTAAAACTGATAGGATGCCCTTTGCACTTTAATTTGTTCAAATATTTAATGATATAATATTGATAGGCGATAAGATAATTGAATTACTTGCAGCCACTTCATCAAGTTGTAAATCATTAATTAATCATTTTAATGAAATTGAATAATTTGCAAAAATGGAACCTTATTTTGTTTGTAGTCAAATGACCGCTCGCGCCTCCGAATTGAATTCGCCACCCAAAAACTTTTCTTTTCTCTCAGGATGTCGCAGCTTTGAAAATGGAAAACATAGAAACAAACAAAAATTAATACACGAAAATGCAGGATAGGTACCTACCTACCTTATAAAAAAAAAAAACTGGAATCGCAATCAAATATACATTGTATATTGTATATCCCAGAAGCGGTAAGTATAAGAAAATCTACAAAAAGTGTTTATTGAACAACAGAATACGTAGTGTAAATTATATACCTACTTACATAGAACAACAAAAATTAAGTTTTAAGCATAAATATTGCAAAATCTAAAAATAATGCAACCTTGCGCTGTTTATTCTATATTAACTACTAATTAACACACTTTGCTTTTTCTATAACATCACGTGTCTTATATTTGCGTCTTTGATTATTTCTTCATATACCGGGTGTCCCACCGAAATCTGTCAATGGCCTATATCTTGAAAACGGTAATCGATAAAAAAATAAATAAAAACCCGTTTGAAGGGGTTGGAAGGCGGAACCAAAACAAGGTACTTTTCAGCCTTTCCCGAACTACCCTTTTGGCCGTAGCTACCCTAACCTCAAAATCCTAACCGGACTATGGGTATGTGATACCTTGTTTCAAAGGACTTTTAATTCTCTAAATGTATCTGCAAAAAAAATTACCCAGATTTAAATGACTACTTTTGAATAAAACCTTATTTGATCGGGTGGAACAGGTAAGTAAATGTGATTTGAAATCGATTTTATACAAAATAGATAAAATCATGAAGAATTTCGAAGAAATCATCAAGATTTTATTTTTTTGAACCCCTTTCCCCTCACTGTACCCTGTACCTGACAGTGTTCACCTCCCAAAACGGCAAAGTTGGTAACTCGAAGCATGGGCTATTTTCTGACAATTTAAATTTGTATCTGGAAAAATATTTTTTTGTGATTCGCTTAGAGAATTAAAAAACCTTTCAAACAAGGTTCGCCATTTAAGATTTTGAGGTTAGGGTGGCTACCGCCGGAGGAGTGGTTCGGGGAGAGCTGAAAAATACCTATAGGCCATTGACAGTTTTCGGTGGGACACCCGGTATAATGCTGCATTATTATCTTGTTTTGTTCTTTATTTATTTTTTAGGCTTTTGGAAATAGGTAAAGAATCTAATTCGAAGAGTCTACGTCGTCTACTGGAAAAACAATAGATCTACCAGGAAAAATTCTGAAAGAACTTTTGATTTATAACTTAGAGTTAATTGGGGAATTTCACCATATTAGAATTTCTTTGCCTTATTATTGATTCAGTTGTAAAAACCAAAATAAAAATAACTTTGCTTCCAGTTGACTTCAAAATGTCCTATTTTTTAAAAAATAATTTTTAAAAATGCTGTTTTCATACCTCATATTTAAAACGTACCTACTGGAATGGTGCCATTGTATGACGCAGACACCTACAGCCGACCAATAAGAATCGTTCACAATGGCTCTGACGCAAATCTTTGATGCTTTCCTTGTCTAAGCTCTGAATGCCTCTGAAGAGTGACAATGATGAAAATGAAATGAAAAAAAAAAGAAATTGAAGGATAACATTTACTCTTAGACAAGGAGAGAGAGGAGACTCATATCGCAGCAGGTGTAAATGAGGCAATTTGTCGCCAAAAAATGTCTGCTTTTTTTATAACATAACCTAGAAATCATACTCTTTTTTTGCCTGTTAAATGTAATTCCGTCCACTTTTTTTTATCTGCGGCTTTTGCAGCCATACGCTGAACAACCCACCATGCTAAATACCACAAAAAATATTAGTCTGAACTAAAATTCGCATAGTCACACCATGAAAGTTTGTCAACAAAAAATGACGTTTTCGGTATCACACTCACCTGCTAGTGCAGGTAAAGGATGTTACGCGTCCTAAGCATTTATTAGTAGTTAGTATAGGCGTATAGGTAGACATTAGACAATGCGACGTTGCCAAGCTGACTGTCGTGATTTCTTAAATTTAAAATCACGTCAGAGCATAGATCCTTTCTCAACACTACAAAAACTGTTGTTGTAGGAGGAATAACTGAACGTACTAACAATTAAAAAATTACATAAATTTTATGACTGTATTCCAAAAAATACAACAAAAAACATTACATAAACAAGGATTCGCGGTTTCAAAAGGTAATCTTGGAAATCAAAAATGGCAACGACAATCTGACAACCCAGCAAACACGGAAAGTCAGCCGCTGCGCAAAAACTGTGATACTGTGCTGTACTTGTTGTACAGCGATGTAGACGAAGCAGCTGCATCAGCCCGGACCATATATGTCCCACCGGCCGGCATCTGGCGCTGCACTGTTCATGATGCATTTGAGTACAGCCACTGTGCAGTAGCTCTGCCTCTTCATTAGGCAATTTTTACACAGCAATAACGCAGCGCTCTTGCAGACGTCGTACATATTTGTTTCGCAATAACTGTGCAGCCAATATACCGTTTAGGTATATTTACCTGTGGCACTCTAAATTTAATGGACATAATTTATTTTATATAGACAGGATATTTTTGAAAAATGACAAAACAAATTAAAGTATATAGAATATATTGAGGAGTGGGACATTAAACAATAATATTCCTGTTAGAAAGTTTTTACAGGTAATGACCAACGTGAATTCAGGGACGCAACGGTCCCTGTTTGGGAATCGACCCACTGAGCAGTGGACTCAGGCTTCCCGTGCCAATCCTTGACAAACTTTCTAACAATTTTCATTGCCAACGAAAGCTCAGACCAATCAGTGTGGTTCAACGCCGGTAGGGGTATTTGCCCTCGGAGTAGTTGTTTCTGACTGGTCAACGAAGTTCAATAATATTCCTTATTCGTTAACCATATTTTGGTGGCTTTTTCAGCTTCTGATTGAGACGCATTTTGACTGGCTCTATTTTTTTTTACATCGACTAAATAAGGACAAAATTGAGTTAAAATTTAAAAACCGTTTTACCTTGCATCAACTTACCTAAATTGCTTTATTGATGTTGATATTATAGGTATATTCTGAAAATTGTGCTTTTTGAAGGCGCCCTGTCCAGTTCAGCTGAGGAGTTGAATTTTTAGATAATAATCTGGCTAATATGTTCCTACATACTTCTTCAGTGTCTCTGTCCCCTAGTATTCCAAGACTATTTATCTGAAAGATTATTTCTCTTTTGTAAATCCATTTTTTAAATCACAAAAATAGAAAACAGAAAACGGGGGCAAATAGAAAAACGATAGAAAACTTAGGTTATGATAATACGGGGGCCTTTGTTTTTGTTTATTTGTATCAATTTTTCACCTACCTTGTTTCCTCTTGTTGAAAATAATGCATCTTGTACACGTAGTAATACAAATCACAGGTAAAAGACACGTGAAAAACACCACAAAAATTATAAATCAAAAACGCTGCCCTGCATCAGTGAAACAATACAATACAATAAAATAAAACAAAAAGGCTACGCTCACAACTCTACGGCAAAAAATACTGTGCTCGCGCAAATAGGCACATTTCTTTACAGTAACTGCACTAACATTTTACAACAGTTGTTGCATCAATATGCGCATGGGAGATCGAAATAATCTATCGCTTTTCCAATACAAAATCTGCAAAGCCGCTGCATATCAAATACTGCACTTCTAAAATACAGTATTCCCAATACAAGTGCTGCGCAGCATCGATAAAACTATTTACAGCGCCGATAAGTTGTGTTTGTTGGGAACGTACTAATTTGCAGTTTATTATTGCTAGTTGTTGCGAATGACGTCATCTTTGGCGGGTTTTCTGCAACGTTTGAAATGCTGCTGAATTTATATTTTTTATTAAAAATTAACGGACACTCAAATGTTCCACAAAATAGTGTTGATAAACACTGGGAATTTTTTTTTATTGTTATAGCTAAAAATGTAGTAAATGTAACTAGAGGCGTGGATAGCATAGAGGACAGGTCAAAAATTTAGTTACAACGGCAAATATGAATTGGTTCGCACATAACATAACGACTTTCGTAGTTAAGTATATATCAACTATTATTTTAGTTAGATGCAAACATTATTCTTAACCTAAAAACTTGTTGCAGCGACTATTATTTCATAGTTGTCCGGAGTTATTGAAGCCATAATTTTGTATTAGTGTAGCCAGTTTAATTATCGATGACAACTAATAGCAGCGGCAACTGAAGAGTATTTGTTATAATATCATGGAAACTAGTTATACCAGCAATAATTTTTGGTTTACCGAAAGATATGGAAATTCAACAATTTGTAACTACCTACCACAATAACATTAAGGTGAATAATTGTATTTATATTCAATTACAAATTGCTGAAGTCGCATATTTTTTTGTAAACTTAAAATTTTTGCAAAATAGCTATACGATGTCGTTTTTTTTGTAACAATTTCAAGTTTATAAAAAAATATGCGAATTCAGCAATTCGTAATTAAATAAACACAATATTTACCTTAAGGTTATTCTGGTAGTTACAACTTGTTGAGGTTTAATGTGGACAATTTTCTAAGAGAAAAAACATGTATAATGTTGATATTAACTCGGCGCTTCAACTCCATAAATCAGTTTCTTATTCTATTTAGCCAGCTCCTTCTTAGTCAACAATAAAACTAGATTATATGGCCATTTTGAAACACGTGGCATGTGATGTTCTATTGTCAATTATTATTTTTTCATAAAGTTCAATACACTGGATTCGCAGTACAAGCGCGCATCACCAAACACGGCGTTTTCTGCGTTTTCCCGTGTTGGAAACAATATTCCAACAGTAAATTTAAAATTCAAATTTTAATTTTCCCGGTATGCACCGGAAGTGTGCGCGTATGTGCCAAACAGTGTCAAAAATCACTTGTCAAAGTTTTTGGTAAAGTGGCTTCCGGCATCTACGCGAGTGAACCAACGGGAACAGTCAGTGTCGAATCGAACCTCACCGAGCGCACCAGATAATTCTGGCCAGGTCCTATATGACCATTTTTACAGACTCTATAAGTCTAAAAACGTAAACAAAAACGAGAAAATGCAAATTGTAAATAGTGTAAATAGTCGTGTGTGTAAATAAATGTAAATATATTAATAATACAGTCCACTCTCATTATTTTAAAGAATCCAACATCCCGAACTCCGAAATCGATCATCGAATTCTGCGCATCAACTGATCGTTTGAGACTGAATACACGCAAGCGGCTCGTGGCCAATTACCCGAGTCAAGGTAGCATTTGACCTAGACAAAAATAATATAAAGCGATCATGCCTGAGTGCTAAATTGCAACACACTAAAAGTCCTAGCCAATCCTCTTTCCGCAACCCTCTTTTTTCGCCCCCTAACCCCCACCTTTTTAATATTTTGATGATTTTCTCGAAAACTATCCACTTTAAGGAAAAATGTCAGAAGAGCATTTTTGAAGCTGACAAAATTTTATTTGCAACGACGTATTGCGAGCCCATATAGTGCCACGTGGTATGCACCAGTGGCGTATCAAATGAAGGGTTACTTTTAAAAAATATACTTTTTCTCCAAACGTCAGAAAAATGACACTTTGTAAA